AAGTTGTACTTATGCATAATTTACTTGTAATCTTAAATTTTAAGTAATATGTATCAATAAACAATACTTCGTGCATAAAAAATTGTTTTTAAGAGTTTTTATCAAATGTTTTATAATATAGTATAGATAGTATAGATAATGTGTTTTTTTTTAAAAATAATAATGATTTTATTTTTGAATAAAATATAAATTTGAAGATATCATAAAAATTTAAGTTATCATAAATTTGAAAATTGTTTTTAGATTTTTTATATTTAAAATGAGATGTTTATCCTGTATTTGATTGTGTTTATCTGTAGTTAGTTACGCGAATTCAGGTACGGGATGAAATCGGATAGTGATGAAATCGTTTAGGGATGAACGAGTTTAAGAGTTTTTAAGAATTTTAGCCAAATGCTTTATAATATAGTATATATTATTTTTGTATTTTGATAACTAAATATAGTGAATAGTAATTACAAACTAATAATATAAAAATAATTGACATATAATTAATATTAACTAATAATTTTCAACTAATATTATTTTCTATTTATTATTTATTAATATTTAATATCTATTAATAATAATTGTTTATTTTTATTTATTTACTTATAATTAACATTAATAAATAATAATAAGTATTAATGAAGGTCATAATTAAAAAAATGACAATAAACTTCCAAAACGTTACTTCAAATAACGTTTCAATAAGCTAGCTTATATCCATCTAAACGTGCATTCAAAAAATAAGCTGGTTTATGTTTGCGAAACAATGTCTTAACTAAATAGATCTTTATTCTAATAATACAATATTATAATTATATTTAATTTCATTGTTATTTATGAAATAAAAAATTTGGACAAAAAAAAGTATTAAATGATGTATATGACTCAACTTGACCCTTTTTCAAATTAAACTAAGGGACTGTTTATCCAAATGTTTACTCGGTAAGTACCTACCAGTAAGAATCAACATTATAATTTATTTTTGTCGAATAAGATTGTAGTACATCAAAACGGTATCATATGCAACAATTTACCCGGTAAGCATTTACCCGTGTAACAGTCGTCACCCTCACTTACCGGGTAAGACTCTTCATTCTTGTCGTCTTTCTTACTAGGTAATATTCTTGGCCCTTGTCATGTTAATCCGATGAGGAAAATTGTCCGATAAACACTTAATAAACAATCCATAAGAAATTATTCATTTTGAATCCTATTTTGATATTTTTTTTATTTCGAGAGTTTTAGCTCAGATCTGCAGAGGTTTTACCCAACCCATCACACCTAGGGTTGTAAACGGACCGAACGTTCAACAAACCGTTTGTGAACCGTTCGGTGGAAAGTTCGTTTATGTTCGTTTATTTAATAAATGAACGAACATAAACAATTTTTTTTGTTCGTTTAGTTAAACAAAGGAACATGAACAAGAGTCTCATTCGTTCATTTATGTTCGTGAACGTTCGTTCGTTTACCGTTCGTTTATATTTGTTCGTTTATATATTAAATTTAATATATAATATTTTATTTATTTACTTTGAATTCAAATAATATTTATTTATGTTCGTTTAATCTGTTCGTTTAGCCCGTTCGTTTATGCTCGTTCGTTTATGCTCGTTCGTTTACGTTCGTTTAGCATGTTAACGAACGAACATAAATAAACACGAACACACCTTATTTTTAAACGAACGAACACGAATACAAAGATTTTCGTTCGTTTACCGTTCGTGTTCGTTCATTTGTTCGGTTAAGTTAAACGAACGAACATGAACAAGCCTTCGTTTGTGTTCGTTCGGTTCGTTTACAGCCCTAATCACACCCACCTAATTTGTCACATGTACCTGGGGTCTTTAATAGTGTTACTACGTTGTAATATGGGGTGTCTTGAAAAAAAATATTCATTAATTGTTTGTTTAATGTAATATTCATGTTTTTGGTCCATATTCATTAAAAACTGTATTTTCGGTCCAATTAAATAAGATCAAATAAATGTTGAGTTGACTTTTCATGAATCATGCCTTATGCATAATGATGATTGATAAGAAAATCCCCTTATTCATATATGAATATTCACAGAGAGAACATTAAATTTGAAATACGACTCAATAGGAAAAATGGCATGATGTTCCATGGAATATGGTCTTGAGTCATTCTCCAATATGATTAAGATACATAGGCTGTTTGGTAGTTGTTGAATGGTTTTGTGTAGAATGATTAATGGTCAGAATGGTTAAGAAGCTATCGTGATATAGTCCAAAATGAAATACAATTGTTTGGTAATTATTTACAATGAAAATTAGAACATTGAATGGTTAAAGAAGTCTCACGATACAAAATCATTCAGAAAGCTTTACAATCATTAAGAGACATATTTTTTTTTTTGTCAAACAAGATTCAACTCTTAATGGAACAATTAAGAGGTAAACAAACAACCCGATTGCTTGTGGATCGCTCCAGTAAATCTATAAGAATTTTCAATTGATAAAATGAACACCCCGTTTATCTATAGTTATAATAAGTTAATAAATGAATTGTACAATACACATTTTTTTATTAACCTGAATATCCAACCCGCTATGCGAGCCGACTAATCTCAGGTTAACCACCTGCTTTGCAGGTAGCCCGAAGTCACTACATTTGAACCTCCATGGCCACAAGGGGATTTTTATTCCTCCTTGGATTTGAACCTGTGACCTTCTGATACTTTTGATCTTTGGAGTCAAGCTCAAATCAATCAGGCACTACCTTTGTGGTTAAAAAAAAGACATTTGTTTCTTAATACTTGCACAAATAGATATACCTACTATGAATTTGTTTTTATATGATTTCCAAATATAGCACAGAAAGTATGTTTGAATAAATCCATTAATTAAACAGAGTCGTCCTGAAAGGTCGAATATAAAAAGACTCTATAACTTTCAGATATGAAAAAGACTACTTTCAAAGCAATCAGGTAGTTAGTTTTAAAACCCCAACAAACCATAGGAGTAGGCGGATTTCTACTCTTGCTGCAACTCTACAGGATGAGACATTTTATCAGTGTTGATTATATGTCATAGTAGCTGCTCTCACCTTTGTCTGTGAGGGGCTTCAGAGGCTTACAAAACCCCTTTTTAATAAGCCAGTTTGGACTTGCTTGCATCTCCGTTTAATGGGCTACATATCGTCATTGTAATACGTCGCCCCTAAAATCATCCCAACTGCTACTAATGTGGCTACTTGGAAAGCTCCTGCTAAGATGAGAAATTCTCCGATAAAGCTGCTAGTTTGTAACACGATAGAGTCTTAAAAACATTTTCATTAAGTCATCATGTGCTTATTGTGATGCTTTAAGGTAACGTAAGCAGATATAAAAAATTTATATATGTAACCATGATGGGGTATGTATTGTCATTGTAAACACATATGGTCTTAAAACCATTTTCATTAAACTGACATGTGCTTAATTTACATGCTTTGGGATAATGTAATCAGATATAAAATTTTCTACTATAACCATCATGTCTAATTCCTAGTCGACTATGAGTTGTTTGATAGTTGCTGAATGGTTTAATGCAGAATGATTAAGTGGTCAGAATGATTGAGAGGCTGTCATTATGTAGTGTAATAAAATATAATTGTTTTGTAATTGTTTATAATGAAATTAGAGCGCTGAATGGTTAAAGAAGACCTATGATGCAAAATCATTAAGAGGATTTTAAACCATTAAGAGGCAGATTTTTTTTTGCCAAACAAGATTCACCTTTTAACGATTCAAATGCTGCCTATTAATGAAATTATTAAAAGGTAAACAAACAACCCCTTACAAGTTTATTACCATATAGATTTGAATCAAATAAAACACTGTATTTCAAGAAACTGAAACGATCTGTAACAAAAGATTACAACACTGATTACTTGAACCCAAATCTCATGATCTTATATCAAAATTCCCGAAATGTTTTTTCAACTTCGTCACCTCTCGAGTCGATAGAAGATATCGATCGTTACAAAAATTTGTTGTAAAAACGTCTGAATTTCACATGGACCACTTCTGAAACAAATCAATAAGTTCAGGGACCTTTTTTTGCAATTCACTTATATTATTTTTCTGATATTTTTCCTTTGAAGAGTATTCAAGTTCAAAGGTGTAAAAGTCAACCCTCCATGAATTCAAACCATATAAGTTTTCAGTAACTCAAACAAGCTCCGAGATCTTGATCAATGGAGGACAGAAATGCTAACATAATCTCTGTTGCATCTATAATCATTCTCATTATCGTCATCATAATCTCCCGTATTCTTCTCGCTCTCACCGAGCCGTTTTTCTTGATCCTCGGAGCCTCTATCGCTGCAATCCTCGCCATCATCGTTTTCTACTTCACCAGGCGCCGTTTCAACAGCAGAAAGCGGAAAATGGAGACTATAATTGCTTCCGAAGGAGCAGAGCTTCGAATCGAGTATAGTTTTCTCCGGAAAGTCGCCGGACTTCCGACGAAATTCCGGTTTAAAGAGCTTGAAGAAGCCACCGATAACTGGAAGTTGTTGATTGGAGCAGGAGCATCGGGATCCGTTTTTAGAGGAAAATTGAAGGACGGTACGGCGGTTGCGGTGAAGAGGATTCAGCACGGAGAGGAGAGAGGTGGAAAGGAATTCAGATCTGAAATTGCCGCCATTGCTAGCGTACAACACGTTAACCTTGTACGCCTCTTTGGATACTGCAGTCATAGTAATAATACTCATTTTCTCGTTTACGATTTCATTCCAAATGGATGCTTATCGAATTGGATCTTCAACCGCCCTTCCTCCGCCGTGAATGCTAACTGTACTGGCGGATGCTTGTCGTGGCAACAGCGATCGAGAGTAGCAATCGACGTGGCGAAAGCCCTTGCTTACCTACACCACGATTGCCGGTCAAAAGTTCTCCATCTCGACGTCAAGCCGGAAAACATCCTTCTCAACGAAAATTACCACGCAATCGTCTCCGATTTCGGAATATCGAAGCTCATGAAACCAGACGATAGCAGAATTGTAACATCACTTAGAGGTACAAAAGGCTACATTGCTCCAGAATGGTTACTTGGCCTAGGAATCTCGGAGAAATCCGACGTGTTCAGCTACGGCATAGTGTTGTTAGAGATCATCGGCGGTAGGAGAAGCGTGAAAGCCATCGATGTAAACGACGGTGACCAATCAAGGAAAAAATTCGAGTATTTTCCGAAGATCGTGAAGGAGAAGTTGCGATCAGGGAGAATCATGGATGTGGTGGATCCACGGCTGTTGAATCTCGGTGGAATCGATGAGAATGAAGTAACGAAAATGGTGCACGTAGCATTATGGTGCATACAACACAAGTCGAGACGGCGGCCGAGTATGGTGGATGTGGTGAAGTGGTTGGAAGGGCGGGTGGCGGTGGTGGAACCACCGGAAACTTCGATGATGGTGGTTGATCTGTTGTCGATTGAGAATGAAGGTCACGGCGCCGGTGACAATGGAGGATGGCAGAATCGTAATAAAAGAAGAAAGCTAGGGGTTGTTGCTAGAGTAGCTTCTCAAATTAATGGCTGCTTGGTACCCAATTCAACGTCGACGGCCAGGTCAAACTCCTTCACGTACTCCATGTCCATAATTTCTCCAAGATAAATATATTTTTATACGGACAATGAAAGCACACGTATACACAAATATAATTTAATTTTAAAATCATACCCTCTTTTCACACTGTTTTAAAAGGTTCGTCATGGCAGCCACCGTGGCTTCGGGGTTTTCTTTGACATAGCATTAAGCCCGTGGCATGTCACGACGTGATGTATGGTTTTTATAAGACGTTATTTGATTGTGTCTTACTTTTAAGTTCCTTGCTTTTGTAGTTTTTAGTATATAATCAATTTGAATTGTTTAATGTAAGAGGCGTTCAAATGAGAAAGCGCTTGTTTTACGGAAATATGAGAACATTTTTTAGCCTTCATATTATGTATTATATTATATATACTACCTTATAAACTATATTTGTTAAAGAGCTTAAAAACAATTTTTAATATACAAAGTACTATACTTTTATGCACAAAGTCTTAAAAATAACTCATAATGCATTAAGTACTACTACTTTATGCATTCAATCTTAAAATCTCTTAACATATAATACAAGTTACCAATGCACATTATTACCTTTTCTTTTCATGTTCTCAAGATACTTTTGACATCTTTCACTCATGCCTTCATGCCTTTCACCCTCTCATACATCTATGTCTTCTCCTCATCCCCAAGGTGATATTCAAACTGATATTCACCATGAGTTATTAAAAGTTCTCTCATCCATCTCTCATTCAATTGCTCTAGAACTCTCGATCTCGCTCTCGATCTATTGATTCTTTGCTCTTGGTGTAAATCGAACACATTTGTGGAGTCGTTTAAATATGTTGGATTTTAAATATATTGGATTTTAAACTGTTATACAATTTTTTTCATCGATAGACTCTAACTGGAACCATAACTCTTATTTATTCCAATTGTATTAATATGTAAAGACCAAGTGTAACTTATATTATCGTTTAATTTTCTCTAATAAAACAGTGGAACTTCAAAATCGTTAAAATTCGCGACTCCACTGCATTGCGCGGGTACACAACTAGTTAAGATTAAAAGAAAATAAAGTAAGTAATTAAGGATAATAATATGGTTTTATATTTATTTGTAACCTTGGTGAACTCATTATTCTTAAATTCACGTAAAATGTACTCACCAATCACAATGTATAACATGTGATAAGTATGTTGGCTATGCATTCAGAGTTGTTAATAATAAAATCACAAGTTTTCGATTTATCAAAGTATTATCACATCATTATCAATAACGGAGACATCGGCATAAGAAGTCTTCCACAATACTAGCAACATTTAAGGGATAAAGACAAATATAATACAACATACAACTGTTGATAAATAAACCACAAGGGTGGTGCCTGATTAGTTTGAGCTTGACTCCAAATGTCAAAAGTACCAGGAGGTCCCAGGTTCAAATCCAGAGATAAATAAAAATCCCCTTGTGACCACGGAAGTTCAAATGCGGTGACTTCGGGCTATCTGCAAAGCAGGTGGTCGCCCTATGATTAGTCGGCTCGCATAGCAGATTGGATATCCAGGTTAATCAAAAAAAATTGTTGATAAATACTAATTTATTATTACTTATTCTAATTTTTTATCATGTATTTATTAATTTAGAGGTCTAAAAGTATTCTCCCATTTTCGTAAAACATGTGTGTTCTCGTTTGAACCTTTGTCTATATGTATAATTATATTTATGATATACAAATTTATCGTCATAAGTCACAACTTAAAAACATCATGGTCTCGCTATGATTCGTAAGACTTGATACTTGACCTTACCACCACATCATATCTCACACCATTTAAAACCTTGTCTCACTCACATACCACCTCATTTCTTACCCTATTCCTCACTCACATGCCATCTGTACGAATAGAATATATACCTTTTTAAAATTATATTGATCCATCAAGCAACCTAATTCCTACTTACTATTTTTTAAATCAAAATCCATACATTCAGGATTAAAAACGCAAATACAAAACTATAAAACCTCTAAATCAATTTAAAACCGTATTGGAGCCAATATATTTGGTTTGATATCTGCTTCTAATTATTGAACAATATGTTCTCAATTCGTTACCTGTCTGATGCCATCGAAACCAACATATTTATTTTAACCAATGAACGGAATCATTTAAGTGAGAAATTGAACTCGAATGATTGACCCAAAACTCAAGTTTGGTTTACAACTTATATGTTTTAACGTGTATCCAATCAGTATTATATTATCCAGTTTTTGGTTCTCATATTCTTAATTTTCCAGTTCCACACCAATTCAAGTCTGGCATACAAAGACTTGACAACTATTTCACAAGTATATACAATTTATGAAACGTCTTGGGAACATTACATGGCCTACGAAATTAAATATTATTGACTCGTTATAAATAATTAAAAAAAAAGACTTTGTAGGGTTATAAATGGCTTTTTACAATAAAACAATGACTAAATCTAAAATAATTAGAATGTCTACTTAAAATACATGCAGGTGAATAAAATTTCGCTTTCCCATACTGTTATAATTAGAATGAAATAATATATGAATTGAGAACTCTTTAAAATTGAGATAAATTCAAATCGGGACCCTGAATGATAGCATTTTGGCTCAACGGGTGGCCCAAATGCCAACTCTCGTCATTTGACTTATATTTGTTTCAAATGTTACGTGTTTTCACACACGTTTGTTTTGATCCTATCATCTGATAGAAGTGTTGGACTTTTTCCACACCTCCAGGGGCGGATCCAACCTTTAAGCACTGGGGTGAAAGGCCCCAAGTCAAAAACAAAAAACCTTTGTTGACTAGCTTAAATTTCTTATTTTCACCCTCGTTTTACATGGTTTCCCCAGTTCCATATGATCATATGCTTCCCTCTGCCAAGTCCCATCTAACGTGTCCCCATCCCATTAATTTCTTGGATTCGCAACTGCACACCTCGTATATTTTTTCTGTTATAGTATAGTTTCTTAAATGTATTAAGTATATAAAACATTTTATGAAATTCGAGCCATTATACGTTTCTCGGGTAGGATTAATTACAAAAATAACCATTTTAGAAGGGTACATCACGTAATGGCCAATTTTTCCAGATCTGATATAGAATAGCTATGGAGTTCACAAAATGGCTTTGTGAATTTCCTACGCAATTCGTCAGCTTATTCATATGAATCTTGAATATTTTACCGGCTCAGTATTTACGAACACATTCTTATGCAGCCGATGATTTTTTCTTGTGTTTTTTTTTTCTTATTTTATTATATGAGAAATCATCCCTTTTCTATTGGGGACCATCTGATAATTTCATGTTGCAAAATAAATAAATAGAGGTCCGTTCACAAAACACTTGTGAACCATGTGGTTAATTTGCAGTAGACCCGAAAAAGTTAACTGTTATTTGATGGACCACTTCAAAAATGATTATTTTGATGATTAGCTCAAATAACTACTATTTGACAAGAAAATGTCAAAAATGATAAAATCAAAGTATAATGTTGTAATAAGAAATGTAATGTCAACAAAATTTTACACGTGGACGTCCCTATGTGAACAATGACATGACATGAAAACTCAGTAATTTGTGTCATGTCATCTTAATTCCAATGAAAAGGTTACCCTTACAATAATCTCGATTTTAGGAGACCAAATTTTGAATTGAAATTTAGGATTAGAAACGTATATTAAAATGTTAAAACTAAAAACACAATGTTATAATAGCAAACTGGTGATTATATAATAAAATAATTTTGAAAATATAATATTATAATAAGAAATGTCACGTCAGTAGTATGGTACATATGAACAACTTAAGTGGAAGTGAGATGGTATGAATATCTGGTATAATGAATAAATTTTGAATCAAAAGATTACCTAATGCTATAATAAGTAAAAAATTTAAAGTACAATGCGATAAAAAAAATAATTTGAGTACAAGAGTTTTTTTTTTTACTTCCCCCTTTCTCTCCTTTTTCTTTCCTTTTTTTTGATGTATATAATATTTATATACAACAAATAGAACAAATATATAATATTTACATACAACAAATAGAACAAATAAACTTACACATCATCCTTACATTTGGTGAGGTTTGAATTCCTGACCTGCTAGGAGACCAAAGACTTACATACCACTAGACTAAAGTTTACAGACAAAAGATTTCGAAAACACAACATAAGATAACGAAAGTTTGCTCATGCGACATGTTAGTACGGTTTTTCAGCTTCTAGATTTTTCCCTTTGATTTAGGATGTGTCAAAGAAACATCGAAAGAGTGTACATGGGTCGATTAGGGACATTTGATAAGTCAATGCAACATTTTGACCAAAAACGTCAACCCGTTAAATTGTATAACCCAACCCAACCCAACCCGTTACAATTTGAGTTAGGTGGGTTGGTCGGGGTTGAACAAATGTGTGAATCAGATTCAGAGATGCAACATTATGAATGATACTACTATTAGTTTTTTCAAACTTACCTTTTAATACATCTGAAGTTTGATTCATTCAGACGTTTGGGTATTAAGAGCGTTTGTTTTATTTTTAAAATAAGAGCTTAAAAGCTCTGAATGTTCTCTGAAATTTTAAATGGTAAATATATCACTTAATATCTCTTCATCCTAATTCGCCCTCCATCAAATTGTTCTTATTTTGGGGGTTGGAAGAGATATGTTAGCAAAAACTATATATCTTTCATATCTTTGCACTAGTTTAATCGATTCAGATTTAAGACTTCATATGTAAAAACAAACAATCTTACTAATCCAGATTTCAGACTTCAAGACCATCTCTTATAAATCAGAAGTAATTAAAAATGATAAGCAACTACTTTTTTACAACAAAGTTTTATTTCTTTCTATATAATGCTACTTATTTTGTGTCGCGGTCCAGAATTAACATAATATAAAATAAAACAAAATTTAATTGTTTTTTACGATGCGTAAAAAGTTTTTAATTACAACAAAACCATGAAACAGTGACACGAGATACCATATGTTCCTACATAGATGTGCCCCTGATGTATGGATTGGATTGGTTTTTTGAACATTTGATAACGGAATCCAATTACTTTGAGTTGTGCATTTTACGAATCGATTAGGTTCTGAGTTAGTCGGGTACTCGGGTTGGGTTATGTTCGAACTATTTTTGGGTTGTTGAATTGGGTTGACGGGTTTATTGGGTTTTTGTTATGAGTGTTCGTCGGTTGAAATCCAATGGTTTTAGGTGGACCCAATTCGATCCAATCCAATTAACACTGGACATCCGGTTCAATCCAATTCAATGGATGATTAGATCAGATCGGTTCTATCGATTGGATATTACTATTGGTTAATCTATTGGATCATACTGGATTCTTCTAATATTTTAATACAAGTTTCAACCAATTATTTCATATATATTTTTAATTTATTAAAACCACTATGTATAAATATCAATTAAAATGTAATATCATAAAGTACTAATAGTTAATAATTGGATGATAATTGAATGGTCATTGGATTAGATCGGTTCGATTTTGTTAAATTATGTACCGCCAGTCCGCCATCCAAGAACAAATATATCCAATTTGAATGTCGAAATTTTGTATCTGATTGGATCCAAAAACAACTGGATATTTGATTATGATCGGTCGGTTTAAATTGAATCAATTGCACACCCCTGGTTTTTGCGAGATATTGTAAGTAGGCGTTTGGTTTGTAAGATTTTGTGCAATTCGAAGGTCATACCCGTTCCTGGCATTTTATAGGCCACGAGCGAGATATAAAAAGGGCCATTGATAAGTACGAAAAATGTTTAATATATCGTTTTTTATCTTTAAAAATAGCATTGACTTATATGATATCATTTACATAGCATCGTCAATCTGTTCTACCGTTAAAAAACATCATGTGATATATACCTTTAATATATAGATTGACATCTTTTAGGGTCACAATGTTGACTATTATAAGTAACACTCTATGTAAATCAATATAAACCACTTGGGTTTCCATCTCATTACAGGTTAAAAAAATTTATCACCGGTTTTAAACTTTAAAAATCTTAGAATGAAAAGAGTATTTGAAATTCATCAACTAATTACTTGAAAGTCAAATTCCTTTGACAAATTCCATTTCATCGTAAAATATTCTGCGAACCAAATACGTAATTAGGGGCCAAAATGAAATAAACCTAAACTACAAGGTAGCTAAATGTCAAACTATCGAAAATTATCTCATTGGTTATCAGAAGTCGCCCACACGCCGGTATAAAACGCTTCAATGATAAAAAAAACACAGTGGGAGAAGAAGATCGATCGCAAAAGCGTGATTGCGTGAAAAGTAAGTCGAGAGCTCCTTTCGTGTCTCCTTTTCCATCATCAACAGGTATATTCTGATCTAAAAACTCCCAATTTTTTTTGTAGATCTTGTAATTTCACATGCAAGTTATGGTAGAAAAATCACTGTTATCGCCTATCGGTTCGTAATCTGTATTGAAATCGAAGTATTTTGCATGCATAGATGTAATCAGGTTGTGGATTTCAATAAGTTATATGAACAGTAAGAGTTGAAGCACTGGTGAAATTAACGAAGTGAGGGAATTAGTTTATATGACTATTTTTCTATATTAAATTGAAGTGTTTTAGGTTTCAAATTGGTTCTGACAGCATTGCTAACTTTTTTAACTGGTAATTGTAGTTAAGCGGAGAAGTTTATGTGTTTGTTTATAGAAATTGAGATATAGATACTATTTTGTTTGAAAATTAGTGATGTAATTGACGTTTGGTGTTAAAATGTAGATACAATAATGTTTAAAAATTAAAAAACCTTGTTATTGGCAAACATTTATATTGATATTCTGATTTGGATCCTCGAAATGTTCGGTGGATCACGTCTTTAATTTTGGAAGGAGGTAATAGGATCGTCATTATTAATGACGACAAATAATTAGTTGAAATTTGATCTTGAATCTTGATGACCTGAAAAGCTAATATTGAATTTGATAATAGAAAACAGTTAATTGTTAGGAAGGAAATAAAATGAACATGCCAACGATACTAAAAAACACACAGTTGGAGAAGAAGATCGATTGCAAAAGCGTGATTGCGTGAAAAGTAAGTCCAGAGCTCCTAAATTCAAATTCATCCACTTTCTTATTTCACCAGTGATTCAACTACGTTCGTAACTCGCATGTAAAATCACAAGATGTGCAAAAATTTGGGAGTTGGCTTCTCCTGATTTAAAGGTTTTCATTGTAGATAAGGTGTGAGAGACTTTTTTGTTGCAGGTTTTATTCTCTTTGGCTGCTGTAAGGGATTGCGTCTGTGATTATTAATATGAGTTATGATGGCCCTTCTCTGGGTTCCGGTTAGTTTCTTTGTGTTTTTTTGTCTCTGTAAATTCGTTTTATATTTGCAGTAGTTTTGCCTCTTGGGGTTTCTCGATTTGTTTCAACAGCAATGACTTTTAACCTAGACGATGTTTGAAAATTATGGATGATTTGCAACACAGGCTTTGACGGTGGGCAGAGATGGACCCAGAAAATTTTCTGGTTGGTGGCACAATTTGACATAAATACAAACCTGTTGAAATATTTCACAATATTAGTATAGATTAGTTGGTTGGTTTCTTGTCCTTGCGTGATAGAGACCCATGTTTGAGTCCAGACTAATTTTTTTTCTAAAACACAAAAAATACCAAAATTGAAGCTGAAAACTAAATTTTTTTACATCGGTGGGACTCAAACCTGGGGTTTTTTTTTACAAAGTGAGCAACATTTACCAACTCTGGCGTTAGAGACTTGCACCAATGCTTCAGTTTCAAAAACTATATGGTGGTACCTAACAAAACAATACGGTGGCACCCTTCAGAAACTTAATTTTTTTCTCTCATGACAGAATCATGAAACAGTGGCCTGTGCCACCGTATGGGTCTATGTAGGTCCGCCAACGGTAGGTATTTTGGCCAATGGAAAGGGGTCGATCTATCTTGGTCCTTGGATCATAGAGACACCAGTCCTCCTATAAGTTTGTCTTTATTGTAAAACTAGGTGAACTAATCAGAACCAAAATGTTACTGGTGGTAATTGGTAAACTGTTGTAAGGGTATAGCCTTGGCATACTGGGCTGGTTAGTAAAGTGCTGGGGCTTCTTTTTGACATCATTTGAAATTATTTAGCTTACCTGTTTCTCTATGTGGTAGGGTAAATGCACCCCTACTACTGGTTTCCTCCTCACAAACATCAACATCAAAACTTACTTTTGTACATTTTCAATATATGATTTGACCTGTTCCTGACTTAAATAGGAGTGCATATAGTAACACCCTTTTACTATCATCGGTAACCTTTGGCCTCTCTCATTTCGTCTCTTCCTCCTTTCTCTTTGGTTCATGTTATGAAATGGTAATATTTGATATTTTCATCAAAGGTGGCAGAACTGCTAGAAGGGCACTCGAGTTTGGACAGACGTATGTCGTAAAACCTAAAGGCAAACACCTGGCAACAATCGTCTGGTTGCATGGGCTTGGTGACAATGGCTCAAGGTAATATCATCTCAACATCCCTCTCTATTTGCTTGTGCCTGTAAGACATCAGCTCTGATAAACTAAGTGGCCACAATTGTTGTGGATGCATGGAATGTGAAATCGGACCCGGGGCAGATGGGATATTCCACCACATCCCCCGGGCCTCAACCACTACGTCACAACCTTTGTGGTTAGATTATGTTAGTTACTGGGTTTGATAAAAGTAGACCTTTTGGATATATTCTTCACCCCTTTTGCTTCTTGTATACTTTAAAGTTATTTAGATAGAGAACTTTAAAAAAGTGACAGCACAACTTTAAAAACTGATTGCAACTAGTCCCTAATTCAAAAATGTGAGTTAGTTTTACCAACATAAAAATTACATAATAGCTTTTGATGGACAATCTAAGGGTCTGTTTGGTTGGTTTTCATTAAGTCATGTATGGATAAAGCATGATTAATCTGTCTGTATAGATTGGGAAGATTTTTGTTTGGAGGGTATTTTCATAAATTGAAGGAGCGTGATTTTTAACTAGAAGGGGCAGGTTTGGATTAAATTTGGCTGTCAGGATTATACTCCCTCCTTGAAGCTTACTGAATAAGTCACTTCCCATCATTAAGCCACTACCAAACAATCATTTATAGCTGACCGAACAAGTTGTGAGTCCTATTAAGCTGCAAACAGACAGACCCTAAGGGAGATGATACTCTGTTCCAAAACAGAAACCCACTTATAATTTAAAAGTCTTAAATGTAATTCTTATGAACAAATTTACCCTTGATTAAACAGAAAGAACAAAATGGCTCTTCACGGAATCTTCAGAAAAAGGAAGGTCATTCCAGGAACACCGAATTTGTCTTGATATTAAACTTTGACATAGCACTCTTTTCTGGGACAAAGAAAAATCGTTAAATTCGACTCTTTTTTCTGGATACAGGGAATAATAGGTTTTGAAATCTTCAGTTAATGTTGAATTTGGACCCTCATTTTACATTCATTTGTACGCCATTCTCAGAATTTTCCCTCTTTTCAGATCAGCAATATCCTCTAAGTTTAGCTTATATCAAGTGTTTCTTTTTTGTCTCAGTTGTGTTACATGTCAAGAAATCTGTTTTTTCACAAATTATCTAGATCGACTGACTATGATTGTTATCAGAGTTTTTCTTTTTTATTATGCGAATATGATGGGAAGGTTTTCATTCATATTTTCAACTCAAGTAACGAAGGAGCATTTTGCCTTTATATTTGCAGCAACCCATCCTACCATTTAGCTTTTATGGCATCATGAACTATGAATCATCGGAAGAAGATTAGTTTTACCTTCAAATCACTAAACTACATTTAATTATATTGTTCATAGCATTTTAAGTAAATTGTCGACAAGAGGGAGATTCAGGGAACCTGCCCCCTAAAAAAATTGAAAAACTGTGAACACCCTGGTAACCATCATCTGGACGGTATGCGCATATGTTTACAAATAATTGAAGTAGTTTCTTGGTTTTTATGCACATGTGCATACCGGACAAATTGCTTACAAATTACTTGTATGCAACGTGCATACCGTCCAAATGAACGGTTACCGGGGTGTTCCTTAGTTTTTCACCTTTTTGCGGTTTTCCCCTTCGATAAATATGTGCTATCGGTATATTTGCAACATTTTGATATATACGGTTGTTTCTTGACACAACTAATGAATGGCGACTGAGATCCATGTTCTATTTCTTGGCAGCTGGTCCCAGCTCTTGGAGACCCTTCCTCTTCCAAATGTAAGGACAGATTTAGGGGCTGTTTATTCAGAAAAGAAATGAAAATTACAGGGAATAAAAATGGGAATGAAAATGAGAAAATGACAGATTCCCCCGTTTAACTTGGCATGAAAATTTGGGCTTCTGGGGGAATGAGCCCAGTATATTATATAAAATCAAACGCTTTCTTTTATTTTCAATCCCATTAATTACTGCTAAGTACCTCTAACCAAACACCCCCTAAGTAAACGACTTAAGATCTATTAACAAACATCGTTTTTACCCTTATACACAAATGAATAAGATAAACAAATATGGTGATGCTATTTTTTTATAATTAGTTTATTAATATGTATTTTACAAAATTTGATGCAGATCAAATGGATATGCCCTACTTCGCCTACTCAGCCCTTAACGTTATTTGGCGGCTTTCCTTCAAATGCATGTATGTTTTTCATGCTCTAGAAAAAAATAATTTTCTTCTCGATGGAAACTATTTATATCTCGACCACAAGGGTTGTGGCGTAGTGGTTGAGCCCTAGGGGATGTGGTGGAATATCCCATCTGCCTACGGTTCGATTCCAGGCATACAGAGCAATTGTAACCACTAAGTTTATCATGGCTTATTTCTTGCAGTTGCAATTTGCAACGATTAGTCTAGGCATAGCCTGGGACTCCTTTAAAAAACTATTTCAATTTGCCACGATTAGTCTGGGCATAGCCTGGGTATCCTTTTAAAAAGAACTATTTATATCGCCTAATGACGACCTCATTAAATCTTTCAAAAGTAATTGCACGAACTTGCACTTATAAGCAGGGGCGGACCTATTAAGGGTTGAGCTGGCTCCCGTTCTCCCGTTCAACTATCATAAGAGAAAAAAAATTAGGAATCTAAAAGGTGCACCCGTTTGATTTTGAAGGGTGCTCTCAAATATTTTGAAACCAAATTTATAACAGAAATCAAACATGGTTGTGATGGTTCACATAGTTGGTTTAAATTGTGGTTCACAATAGGTTGCCGGTTCAAGTCTTACATCTAGCAAATCTTTAATTTTTCACGTTTTTAATTTCTGCTCCTAGGACCAGCACAAGGGCCTGCCCATGGGCCCTACAATGTTATAACTAAGAATATTAACAATAAAGATACATAGCTATAATAATCGAACTCACAACTTAAGTACAATTATAGACATAACTACCAAGGCAGTTTTTTGTTTATTTTCCTCCCATTTTCATTTTATTACCTTTCTTCATGATTTATATTCGTTTTCATTGCAACTTCATCTTAAAGGTTGCTGTTTTTTTCCTCGTTTTCGAGGCAACATATATTTCTTTTAAATGTCATCAATGTCGATTCCATTTGAAAAAAAAATCTATTTTATTCCCTAAATCGACACAATTTACTTTTCCCGAGGTCAAACCGCATTGACTTCCCCCCAAGTCAAACGCTACTTTGTAGACCCTTGATCCACCTTAAAGGTGCACCCGCTAAGGAAAGTTCCTGGGTCCGCCGCTGCTTATAAGTAAAAAAAGGATTTTACTTTATCTGAATTCTCTTTGTATTTTCAAGTATCTGATGCAAAAGTGTAGTGTGGTTGAAGATGAACACACTAGTTAGGTTACAGTAAAGAACTAAACCATTCAAGATTGACATGCATGAAATCATCAAAAGTTGGTGTCATGGATGTTAGGGTTTGATGTAAGTGACCTGTCAGAAGATGCAAAACAAGACGTAGAAGGACTTGATGCTTCAGCTGCACATGTTTTGAGCCTACTCTCCACTGAGCCTTCAGACAGTAAGTTATCTCTTAATCTTTTCTTTTGTGTGCAATGACTCTTCCCTGAATTAACCATGACTAGCTGATAAGCTAGCCATTAGTTGATAAACTAATCATGTTTGGTAAAAACTAGTTGAGAAACTAGTTGTTAGCTGATAAACTAGTCCAGGAGCCATGGTGGTCCCCCTTAGAACCCCCGGATCCCACGAGTGAATCGAAAGTTGGATCTACATTTGGGGCTATTTTGCCGAGTTCCTTAGAGAGAGTTGTCTTGCGCCCATTAGGTATTCATTTCACCGCCCTACCGGAAATTCCCTCTGCCCTTACCGTAGCGTTTGGTAAAAACTAGTTGATAAGATAGCTGTTAGTTGATAAACTAGTTGCGTTGGGTAAAAACTAGTTGATAAGATAGATGTTAGCTGATAAATTTAGTCATGTTTGGTAAAAAAAAAACGAGTTGATAAGCTAGTTGTTAGCCGATAATCTAGTCACTTTTGGTAAAAACTAGTTAAAAAGCTAGCTGTTAGTTTTGATAAACTAGTCGCATTTGGTAAAAAAAACTAGTTGATAAGCTAGTTGTTAGCAGATAAACTAGTCACGTTTGGTAAAAACTATTTCATAAACTAGATGACAACGTAAAATAACCTAAAAGGACACGTTAAAAAACTAATAAAAAAAATATAAGGTCATAATTGGAAAAAAGTCGAAAAACCCCATAGAGCTTATTGATATGCTGCTTGAAGTAGCTTTTCAAAAAGCTAGCTTATGGCTAACCAAACGGGGCTTAAATTGGTTTAGAAGCTTTACATCCTTTAAGTAATATTTACGTCCTTTAAAGCCTCTGTTTCTCATCCCACATAATTCCCCATTGTTGATTCAATACAATTGCTTTACATGGGTGTACGCATTGCTTAAATTGGTTTAGAAGCTTAAGATCAATTAGGATTCATTTGGTACACATGACAAGAAAATACATAACAGAACAAAAACTTATTGTCCCATGTTTGGTGCGACATTAGACTAGGACAAGACATGACCAAATGGTTGTCCCACCAAAATTGGTTGAACAAAAATCAGGGGATGGGACAAGATTGGTAAATTACTAAACCTCCCATTCCAAATTGAAACCTTAAAACCTTTCACAATTCCTTCACCCACCTACGTCACTCTCGCTCGTCCAATTCTATCCAGTACCTCATACCAAACACACTCTTAGGGGCTGTTTGGTTGGTGTTTCATTAAGTCCTGTATGGATAAAGTTGTCTGTGTGGATTAATCTGGATGTGTTTAGATTGGGAAGGTTTTTGTTTGTGAGGTCTTTTCATAAATGGAAGGAGCGTGCTTTTTTATTGGGTGGGGCAAGTTTGGAAAAAATTTGTTTCCTGCATAAAGCTCTCCCCTAGATGTTTACTGAATAAGTCATTTTCTATATCATTAAGTCACTACCAAATAGTCATGTATAGCTGACCGAATAAGCTGCAAGTCCCATGAAGCTCGTTAAGCTGCTAACAAGCAGGCCCTAAAGATCTAAAGATTTCAACCCATGTAATTCCCCTCCTTGCCCCTTTCTGAATAGAGAACCAAAAAGGAAGAAAAAGAAAGAACATGTTAATCTTAGATGACCCTAACACAATTTATTTTTTTAGAGAACTCTTGTTTTAGTTACATAATTTTGATGCTATATATTCTTCCACTTTGCAGTCAAACTTGGTGTAGGAGGGTTTAGTATGGGCGCAGCGACTGCTCTATACTTTGCAAGTTGTTTTGTACATGGAAAACTTGGGAATGATAATGCCTACACAACCCATTTGGATGCAGTCATTGGCCTTAGTGGATGGCTTCCATGTGCAAAGTAATACTCACCATTTTAACCTTTCTCCTTGCCAATCAATGCTTTCTTTGTCCCAAAATAAATGTCCACAATGGAAAAACCACACAGTTTGAGAAATGTGTAATTAAAACACTTTTTGATTATCTAAATGACAATTGTACCCTTACGCTCTGTTTTCGAATTTGGGAAGAAAACAAAACAAAAGAACGGGAGGAAAGAAAAAGAAAGGAAAGAAAAGAAAAGGAAAAGGAAGGAAAGGGAAGGAAAAGGAAGAGAAGGAAATAAGTTTTTTTTTATGTTTGTTCTTGAGAGGGAAGGGAAGAAAATAAATTTTCATGTTCTAGAGCAGGAGAGAAAGGAAGCGAACGATATCATTTTTACAAATATACCCTTATTTATTTTTCAGCGGGTTGTAAACTTGTATTTGATCGGTAGATGTGTAATTTTATAGATATTTTTAATTGTAATTATTTATTTCCTTCCTTTTCCTCCCAATTTTGGAGGAAAATCAACATTATTTTCCTTCCCTTTCTAAAAAACTCAAGAACTTTAAGATTTTTTCTTTCCCCCTACTTTCTTTCTCTTCCCTCCCTTTCCTTCGTGAAGGAAGACTCAAGAATACAAGGTTAAATAATATAGGGAGTAATGAATTTCTCCATCTTATACTCAAGGGTAGAATTGGAAAGTAGACACTAATTTTCTAACAAACTATTAATAGACATGTGGACACTTATTTGGGACGAGCAAGTACCCTGTTTGTGCCTGACAAAGTCAACAATATACCATTTGTTTGCTAGGGACCTAATTAACAAGGTAGAAGGGGATGAAGCTGCAGCTCGAGCGGCATCCTTGCCCATTATGCTCTGTCATGGCAAAGGTACTACCCCATTTCATCTTGTATTCTTGTAAAATAAGCTTTTCCCCTACCTACTTTTTATATTGATGTTGCTTACCCATATCTAGTTCTCAAAGTTGTTTGACTGGTTTTCCATTTAATCTTGTATGGATAAAATTGTCTGTGTGGATTAATCTGTCTGTATAGATTGAGAAGGTTTTTGTTTGGGGTTTTTTTTATAGAGGGAAGGTGCATGTTTTTTAATTTTGAGGGGCATGTTTGGAAAAAACTTGGCTTTCTGCATAAAGTTCCCCTAGAAGTTTACTGATAAGCCAGTTTCTCTATATCATTAAATCAATGCCAAATAGTCATGACATGGATAGTTCAGTAATCTACCAATCTTGTTCCACAGGGACAGACTCAGGTGGTGCATGTGGTGGCATGGGCCACCGCCTCGTTCCTCCGTCGTAATGTAGAAAATTTTAGGGTTGCGAAAAGTGTCACCGTATCAATTTGTTGTGTGCCATCGTATATATTTTGAAACTACAACGAGGACACAAGTTTCCCTTGGTATAGTTGGTTTGTAAGGCTTTTCTTGCACCCTAGACCTGAGTTTGAATCCTGTTAGTGTCATTTTCTTAGTTTTTAGCTTTTAATTTCAGATTATTATATTTGTGAAAAAAAAATTGCTATAAAAGACTTAAATTATGAAAAACAATGAACTAACCAAAAAACCAATGATGACTTTGTCAAAAATATCCCTATATCTGTTTCTTATAGTCAAATGGTGCCACCACTTGAAAAAAATTCTACGTCCGTCTCTATTGTCCCATCTCCCAAAGGTTTTTTCTACTTATTTTGGTGGGACAACAAAAATGCAGTTTTTTCCCACTTGCGTCTTGTCCTGTCCCAATCTAACAGTGCACCAAATGTGGGCAACAAGTTCTTGTACAGTCATGTCCCATTCTTTCCGTGTACCAAACGTGCCCTAAGATTTCCGTGTTTTCATGAATGCTTGTGTGAAACAACTCGAGTCAAAAGTTACAACTTTCCTAGGGAATATTCATATGTGCATATGATGTTGAGTTAGCAGGGCGTACTCTACTTGAGAAGGGAAAAAGGTGCATCTTCTAACTTGTTTTGCAATCTGGTTCCAGGTGATGATGTGGTCCTCTTTCGTTATGGTGAGAAGTCTGCAGAGAAACTGACGTCAGCTGGCTTTCAAAACTTGACGTTCAAAACCTACGATTCGTATGTGTCCTCTCTTTGTCTTACAAGCACTATCATTCAAGCTATTATTTTCATGATGTGTTAGTGCTAGAGTCCCATCTTAGCTAGACTTGACCCTTTTTTTGTTAACCATGGGTTTTCGGGTCAACTTACGTGCACCAACTAAAACCTTGGACGATCACGAATGGCTTGGAGTCATTGCATGTGAACCTCCATGGCCACAGGGCTTTGGTAGCGCCTGGATTCGAACTCGAGATAGACGAGATTTTTGGACACTTTTCTTCAATATACGTTGGAGCTTATTTCTCGCCTCAAAGGCTCAGAGTAATCTAATGGGGTTTCGCATGTTCTCATAGTTACAAGATCTTAAGGTCCTCTTTGGTTGGTTTTCCATTAAGTCTTGTATGGATAAAGCCATCTGTGTGGATTAATCTGTCTGTATTGATCGGGAAGATTTTTTGTTTAGGAGAGTTTCTTCATATATGGAATGAGTGTGTTTTTTAACTGGGACAAATATGTTTAGAAAAAAAAACTTGGCTTTAAGCATAAAGCGTCCTCCTAGAAGCTTATTGAATAAGTCGCTTTCTGCATCATTAAGCCACAACCACACAATCACGATTATTCCTAAATAAGGTATCAAATCAATATGCATAATTGAATGTGTGATTTTATAACGAAAATGCAGGCTGGGCCACTATACGATGCCGGAAGAGATGGAGGACGTCCGTTCATGGCTAACTTCAAAATTAGAGCTCAAGGATGAGTCATAGATCCATCTATTTGGATGAAAGATGGTTAAATTAATCCAACAATATTTTGTAATGTGAAATATGAATTTTCTGTCAAAACTACATTGCACGCATTCTCTCTTGTGTCCTTTACTTTTACACTCGCAGGTCTTTACGAAAACAATTTCTCAGATCTGTGTATATCCTACTCCGTACACCATCTGCTTAAGATTTTTTGAGTTTGTTTGATTTGATTCAAGTGTTGCATGTGTTTACCATCTTACATTGCTTGTCCCTTCATGAATTTATGTAAATATGTAATTGTATCTCAAAAGACCGAAGATAAGTGTCCACATTTCTATTTTTAATTTGTCCCAAAGTAAAGTAACTGTCAACTTTTCCTATTCTACCCTTGATAACATCAAAGGTGAGATTATTCTTTAGTTAATTAAAAAAGGGCAAATTGTATGAAAAAATATCGTATTTTAACTTAATTTCTATTTTTAGGTAACGTACTTTCAAAACTTTCATTTTAGGATGTAAAGTTTTAAATATTTAAGTATTTGGTTAACAGATTGAAGACTAATTTTAGATTTAAAAAAATTAGTATTTCTACCGATACACATCGGTTCAAACCTTACTTCTGTAGAATATATTTTTATATAGTATTTATATATACGCACACTCCTAATCTTTAATAAATCTTATTGTTTACACCATATGTAATAATAGGAAGTCCCAAACAATCAAATCATTTAAAAAATACATACAACAAACATAAGGCAAAATATTCCACCTATCTAGCAACCTCTCTAATAAAAGCTACTTCGCCCGACGCTTGCGGTGAGAGTAGCCGTTTGTCTTGCTCCGTGTCTTCGTATTCTCCCGCTTCTTGAGCCGTAGACGTTGACATAGACCCGCTCCCGTCTTCTTCTGCAAATCAATCAAAAAACCATAACCAACGAGATCGTATACGTGTTAAAGAAATCCGACCCTAGTGCATATCATGAATTCTCCAAGCGGTCCCACGCTGCCCACCCAAGAGCATCATGTGAGAGACAAATCAGATATACAATGTCCCGCTAGATTGATCTGGAGGTTATTGGGTCGGTCTACTAATTTGGGCTCTGGGGCGTTACACCTAGAGGTCCATGTAAACTATTTGAGCTTTTAACGAGCTACTCAGACTTATTTGAAAACTTGATTGAATATTTTTCGAGTCGATCCGAGCCGAGTCATTCAAGCGTACCCTTTTTCAACTCAACCATGCTCATATGTTCATAAATCATATAATAAAAATTTATCGAGCTTAAGTTTTTCGATCGGGAGTTCGAGCCCATAAACGAACATCGAGCTCGAGCCCAGTATTATTTTTTCAAGCCAAGGTCAAATAACACTACTGGACTCGGCTCGGCTCGGCTCGTTTACACCCCTAGTTACACCCAAACCGTGGCTACCGGACACAAACCCTTGCCTGTTTGTACAAGTATACCACCCAGATCCTTGTTACACCTAAGGGTGTAAACAAGCCGAGCCGAATAGTAGGTTATATGAGCTCGAGCTCGCATATTCTTTTGAGTTATTGAGCTCAATGTTTGTTTATAGGCTCGTATTCACGATCAATTAGCTTGTTTCTTAACTTGGGGTTGATAATTTTTATTATTTTATTGTATTATTTATGAACATATGAGCATGTTTGGCTTGCAAAAGTATATGCTCGAATGGCTCGTCTCGACTCGACTCAGCTCGAAAAATTTAATCGAGCTTTCAAATGAGCCGAGTCGAACATTGGTTTCATGAAGCTCGACTCGTTAAGTCAAACGAGTTCTATTTTGTGTTTTAGATGGACTCGAGCTCGAGAATATTAAGCTCGAGCTTGAGTAGCTTGTTAAAAGCCCTACTCGTTTACACCCCCACCGAACGCCCCTTGGGGTAACATTTATCATATGGAACACCAAAAGACGCTTGAAAAGAAGTATACGAATGACACAAAACACGTACCGCAATTATGATACTCCGGCAGCTGTTTAACCGTGGTTACTTGAAGGCTTTCGGGAAGGAGACAACTGCAAACCGCACCTGCATAAAAACACCGAAAACTAGTCATTTCAATTCGCCAAATTCGTAAATCGACAAAAGAATCACATACTTTGTGGATTTCATCTATCCACGTAAAAAAGACCAAAACCGTCCTTCGCAAAACCCTGTTCAACGATCATATAATCATATTAGAGAATCGTACGCACCTACTTTGGCGAGTCGATTGACCCACCCGGGAATGCTTTTGCCTGTTAATCTTTGGGAGATGTCGTCCGTAAAATGGTTGCAGTTCTTGGAAATGAGGTGATAGGTGTCCCCATGATACTCTGAAGCCACCGTCTCTATGAAATTCCTGAACTCCGTCGGAGATATGCTTACTTGCCCTAACGGTATTGAACATCTGTAGATAAAACCCGGGCAACTCTTCGGTTCGACTTCAAACACCCCGCTAATCGGAAAGTCGTGTGCTCCAAACCCGTATTCCATACCGTACACTGTACCAAAATCCTATTTGTCAGTTTTTCTGTTAACAATATCACAAAAGGTCCAATAAATTAAGTAAACAAGATCGTAAGTTAAGAAATTGTATCCGTACATGTCGGTTCTACGGATGTCAATAAATTAAAGTGGAAGTTCACCCTAAAATACCAAACCAAACACACCAGACCACTCGAAAGTAGGCTCTTGGGGGATGTAAACGAGTCGAGCTTTTAACGAGCTACTTGAGCTCGAATTCACGTATCTTGAGCTCGAGCTTAATAGTTCTCAAGCTCGAGTTAATCTCAAACACAAGATAGAACTCCTTTAACTTAACAAGTCGAGCTTCATAAAACCAATGTTCGACTCGGCTAGCTTGAGAGCTCGATTAAATTTTTTGAGTCGAGCCCAGCCGAGTCGAGACATTCAAGCATATATTTTTCGAGCCAAACATACCCATATGTTCATAGATAATATAATAGAAGTATAAAAATTATCAACCTCGAGTCAACAAACGAGTTAATCAACCGCGAGTACGAGCCCATAAACGAGCATCGAGCTCGATGGCTGAAAAAATATTCAAGCTCAAGCTCGAATAATCTAGTACTATACTCGGCTAACAGTACAGATAGAAATCCACCATTCAACCTATATATACACGAGCACGAGGTAAAATACTCGGTTCTCTTCTACATAACCTTATCTTGAGCTCGAGCTTAATACTTCTCAAGCTCAAGTCGATCTCTACTAAACCAAAGGGGTAAACCCTTCCCGTATCCATAAACCAAATTGAGTATATCCAACCACTTGGGTTGTGACACATTGGTTAAGGCTCAGGAGAATGTAGTGAAATATATATATATATATATATATATAGAGAGAGAGAGAGAGAGCGGACAAATCAAATAAAAACCGCCTAAATGTTACACACCGTACAAACCAATTAGGTACGATACAATCCTACATCCCTCAAACTATCAAATCGTTCAATATCAAGTTGCCTAAGTGATTTCAAACGATGAAAGTTAATTGAACGGAAATGTCCCGAAGTCCAAATAAAATCGAAGTCAGGACCTGATTCATAGTTTTCAATGCAAGTGAAGAGCTTGAGATCCATATCGAAATGGAAAAACAGAACACATGTGTCATTTTGTGTTGAAAAGCTATGATCACCAATAAAACTCATCAATCTAACGTCTTTCACAGCTCAAGAAACCCGATTCAGCATTCACCCAAATACAACTAAATTTAGAAACCCTAAACACCAATCTCATAAAGAATCACTTAGGGCCTGTTTTGTTAGCAGCTTAATGGGACTTACAGCTTATTCGGTCAGCTATACATGATTCTTTAGTAGTGACTTAATGATGTAGAAAGTGGCTTATCCAGTAAGCTTCTACGAGGGAGCTTTATGCAGAAAGTCAAGTTCTTTCCAAACATGTCCCTCACAATTAAAAAAGCACGTTCATTTCATCTATGAAAAGCCCTCCTAAACAAAAACCTTTCCAATCTATACAAACAGATTAATCGATACAGACACTTTATTGATACAAGATTTGACGGAAAACAGACCAAACAGCCCCTTATAGTGAATTCCCAAATGTAACCCATGAACAATCTTGGATTTTCGACAATCCAACATCTTCCACAACTCAAGAAACCAACTTCACCCAAATGAAACTAAATTCAGAAACCCTAAAAAGCAATCTCATAAAGAATCACTTACAGAAAAATCCCAAAGCAACCCAAGAACACTCTTGGAATTTCAGACAGACCTGTTTTCATTTAGTTCACACCCACATAAATCCAAATCTTGGACTTCATACAAAACCCATCTCAAAGTATACACACTATTAAGTAGTTATCACCAATAAACCTCATCTATAACACATATTCTGCAGCTCAAGAACCCTAATTTACCCATAAATACAATCACACAAAACATAACTCATAACAAAATCCTAAAAACCCCATAAAACATGAAGTCATAATCACCAATAAACCTCATCAACCAGACATATTGTGGAGATCAAGAACCCCTATTCAAAAACCTCATAAAACATTAAATTAAAACAAAACCCCATGAAAGTTTCAAATCATTCCACAAAACCCATATCGCCAAACAGAAACCCCAAATCAAATTGTACTTAATACGAATTGAAATTTGAAAAAACAATCGAAATGGAATTGGATCAAGAGAGTTTATCTCACCTTGAATACCCGAATGAAAGATGCCAAAACCCAACCAGATGCTGTAAGCATTAACAGGAGTAAGATCATATACATTCAAGAAAACCTGTGTATCCATGTTGCTATGACTTTTTTCTGGGCTCGTTGAGTTACTCTCTCGCCCCATTTGCTGAATGAAAAAGTAATCTCTCTTTTTCAAAAAGATTGTTCGTTTCAGGGATTATTAACTTTTGCTAGAGAAACGAACACACACTCACACACACACACACTCAAATCGAAAAGGGTTTGATTCTATATCGGAGGAGTAAGAGGAAGCATTGATTGAGAGTTTGGAACTTATTTTCAGGTTGCCAGATAGGGAAAGCAAAAGGAAAGGGTAAAATGGGAAATTTTTTTTTGGAAAAAGCTGTATAAGTTTGATGTCGATCGTGGGATCAATCATGGAAGTGAACGAGTTATGACTCGTTATATTGTGTGGCTGAGTTAATTGGGGACCCGGGGAACAAGTATCGATGGAATTGGAATTGTTGACCGAATCGGAACTTAAAAAGCCGATGTAATGAATTGATCGGGTCGGGTTTTGATTCAAGATTTGAATTTGGATTGTTTTTAATCTAAAAATATAAACGTAAAACAATGTTTAGAACGGTTTTTGATTCAGATCTAAACTTGGGGGTTATTTACTAAACACTTATTTGACAAGTGTTTAACGCATAAATTTCCTTATCGGATGAACATGAGAAAGACCAATAATCTTACCGGGTAAGAGCGATGAGAAAAATGAAGAGTTTTACCCGGTAAGTGAAGATGACGACTCTTATTCAGGTAAGTGTTTACCCAATAAATTGTTGCATTCGATATGTTTTGATGTACTAAAATCTTAAGCATCAAAATAAATTATAGTGTTAACTCCTATCGATAAGCGCTTACCGGGATAGCATTTGGGTAAACGGCCCCTTAGATTGATTTTAATCTAACAAAATTGAGTTTATTTCAAAAGAACAAATTATTTAGGTCCTGATTTGACTGATTTTAGCGGGTTTGAACTATTTGGTTATAAAAAATCTATGATCGACAACCAAACTAGCGGACTGTTTGACAGTAGCTGAATGGTTTAGTTCAGAATAATTAAGTGGTCATAATGATTAAAAAAACTCATAATATAATGCAAAATGAAATATAATTGTTTGGTAATTGTTTACAATGAAATTAGAGCGTTGAATGGTTAAGGGAGACTCATGATACAAAATCATTCAGAGGGTTTTGAAACCATTAATGGGCAGACTTTGTTTTGCCCAGACAAGATTCACCTCTTAATGATTCAGATGTTGTCTTTTAATGAAACTATTAAGAGGTAAACAAACAATATGTTTTGTTCTTCGGTTTTCTCAATCTAAACTTGAGATCACGTGAGTACTTTTTTCATGAGAAATATAAGAAACCTTAACCGATCGTTGTCCTTCATATGGTGGCATTTTTGTAAATAAGTGGAACTTTAGTGACTTAAACGTAAGGAATATTGGACTTTGCATATACCTTCACATAAATAAAACACCGAACTTTCACATCAGAAAACATGAAATCTATAGAAACCTTTGCAAACTTTCACACGCCTTCACATGAAAAAGAAACATTATTAAACCTTCATATATTATTTGTTGGTCGTCTTTCACGCAGTGGTAGTTTTGTAAATAAGCAGAACTTCAGTGGCATGGATGTAAGGAAGATCGTAATTGCATATACCTTCCACAAGACAGACATTGAAGCTTCAAGAATCATATGAAAAATAATGAATCTACACATACCTTCACTAACGTTTCCCAAACCTTTTATTTATTAACCTGGATATCTAACCCGCTATACGAGCCGACTAATCTCAGGACAACCGGAGTCACCGCATTTGAACCTCCGTGGCCACAATGGGATTTTTATTCCTACTTAGATTCGAACCTGGGACCTCCAGGCACTTTTAACCTTTGGAGCTCAAACTCAAACCAATCGAACACCACCCTTTGTACTTACATAATCTTACATCCTAACCAACCTTTTATATCCGGTGGAGTTCAAACCTTTGACTTTTTGAGAGGCTGAGCTCTAACAGTAACCCAGATACCGCTAGATCGATGGTCTTTTTTATATTCTTTAATATATGAATAAACCACGGTACCAATGCGAGATATTGAACCGTGGCTCCAAAAAATTTGGGGCCTAACTATAAATGTTTTAAATTTTACTGAATTATATATGTTTTAGGGGGGCATTTATTAAACGTTTATCCGGGTAAGTATTTACCAAGTCACATTACATTATCAGATGAATATGGTAAGGACCAAGAATCTTACATGATAAGGGCGAGACAAGGACCAAGAGTCTTATCCAGTAAGTGAGGGCGACGACACTTACCACAGTAAGCGCTTACTGGGTAAATTGTCGCATACAATGTCGTTTTTTTGGACTAAAATCTTAACCGATAAGTAAGTGAAAGTGTTAAATTTTACTGGTAAGTAGTTACCGGATAAGTGTTTGGTAAACGACATCTTAACCTTTTAATTGTTAAAATTACGTATGATTTATCCTAATTATTATTGATTACACTTTTACCCTTTAGTTCAAGTATAAAAACGATTCTATTTAAATGAATTTTATATGTTATCTTGTATCATTATCAGATGTTTTTGTTGTTTTAATTTGTAACAATTTTAATCTATACATGTAAGAGTTCTGATACAAAATTATATGATTTACTATTCGTTCAATCATTCTATAACCAGGTGTACCAACTTCATTGGATACAGTGGCACGAGACAGTTTTGTTCCTCTGTCGCAGTGTAAAAAATTATACAGTCGCGAAAGGTGTCACCGTGTATTTTGAAACTACAATGATGACACAAGTTTCCCTTGGTATAGTTAGTTTGCATGGTATCATTTTCTTAGTTTTTAACTTTTAATTTCAGATTTATTACGTTTTAGGAAGAAATTACATGGTCTTACAACTTTACGGAGACCTGTGTTTTTGGTAAACAGTGAAGCACCCGCGCGAGCGTTAGTGGACGAAGCGGAAGCGAGAATGCTTCACACCCAAAAAGAAGGGAGCTACGTCTGGGTTAAACTTGGAGATGGAAGTCTTCTTTCGCTTCTCGACGGTGAAGTAAGACCAGTGCCTCCAAAAAGTCGAACAACCCTACACAAAATGTTTCTACTTTTTTACGATCGAAAACATTTTGTAAGATTTGCCATTAATAATTTTTAGAGTAAATTACGTTTTTTTTAGTGTCTGTGTTTTGTTGAAAATTACAGTTTTCGTCTCTTTGATTTTGAAATTACGATTTTCGTCATCATGATTTATAATTTATTATCATCCTTATAATTTATTGTTTGTTTTCCTGTGGTTTATAATTCATCGCTATTTCATCCCCTCATATTTAAATTTAAAGGTAAAAATTAGTCCCGGGGACGAAAATAACGACGATGTGCAAACTATAGGAGTTAAACCTGAAATTTCAAAACTACAGGGACAAAATCCGCAATTTATAACAAACTACAGGGACGAATCCGCAATTTATAACAAACTACAGGGACAAAAACCGCAATTTATAACAAACTACAGGGACGAATCCGCAATTTACTATAATTTTATAACAAATAAATTTTTGTAGTTCCAAAGCAGCATGAATCTTAGGGGAATCTGTGAATTCTTAATTTCCAAATTTTTTGATATATTAAAATAATGTTAATATTTCTGACACGTAATCAAAAATATTATTCAACTGTTTGATTGGTTTGAGTTTAGACTCTAAAGATCAAAAGTGTTTGGAAGTTATGGGTTCAAATCCAAGGTGAAATAAAAATCCTCTTGTGACTACGGAGGTTCAAATGCAGTGACTCCGGGATATCCGCAAAGCAGGTGGTCATTTTGAGATTAGTCGGCTAACCTAACGGGTTAGATATTCAGGTTAATAAAAAAAATCTTAGGGGTCGTTTACCACACACTTACTCGGGTAAGCGCTTATCAAGTCATGTTACTTCACCGGATGAATATGTAAGGACCAAGAATCTTATCCAGTAAGAGCGAGACAAGGACCATGAGTCTTACCCGGTAAGTGAGGACGACGTCTCTTACCACGGTAAGCGCTTACCGGGTAAATTGTTGCATACGATGTCGTTTTGGTGGACTAAAATCTTACCCGATAAATAAATAATAGTGTTAAATTTTACCGCTAAAACACTTGGGATCCATTTATGTCTCATCAAATTTAAATAAAAATTGACTAAAATAAAGCAATACATTTTCCAACAACTATTTTATTGTTTATAATAATAAAAAATTGCATTGAAACTACTACATATTGCACATGAATCAAGTTGCACATGAAGCTTTTGAGTGTGGTCCAACTTTCAAAGGATAAATTGCATGAAAAAATAACGTATTTTAATTTGATTCATATATTAGGTAACGTACTTTCAAAACTTACATTTTGGTATCTAAGGTGTAAAGTTTTAAACATTTAAGTACCTGGGTAACTGGTTGAAGTATTAACCGATTATCATGCTGATGTGACGAGTGATGTGGTATCCAACTCGGTATTATTTGCTGACGTGGTCAGTGATGTGAATTTTTTAAATTAGTCTTTTTTTAGTCTAAAATTAGTCTTCACCGGGTTACCCGGGTACTTAAATGTTTTAAACTTTACATCTTATGTACCAAAATGAAAGTTTTGAAAGTACGTTACCCAAAATAGAAATCAATTTAAAGTACGTTACTTTTTCATGCAATTTGTCCAACTTTTAAATACTAAAGTTTTACCGGAAAAAACTCTTTTAACTTATAATAAATGACAATTTAAATAATCAAGAACTAAAAATCTACAAAAAAAAAAAAATCAGATAATCGAACAAAAACGACATGTAAGATAAACATAAAATTGATATGCATTGATTATTCAAGGTATAAAGCATCTATTTCTTTACTTTTAAATAGTTTATTTTTTTTATCTTAACCTTGAGTCATTTTTATTATATTATTTTTCATTTTGTTTATCCATGGAACTAAATTAAGTGACTTAATTGTCTTTACACCGTTAAAATGACTAATTCTTTGCATGTATGGCTATTGTTCTGTGTTGCAACATTCTCTAACCATTCGTCTTTGTAGTACGGCTTTTTGGACAAACTTTTTGGATTCAGCTGTTGTGCATGGATAAGGACAATTTTTTTGGATAATTCATGGCCAAAGACTGATGACTTGCAAGAAGATTGTAGAAAAAAAAATACTTAGTGTACTTGTTATGATTATCCATTTTGTACTTATGTATTTATGGGTTGAAAGCTATAATATAGTGCAATAGTGAAAGTTCGAGAAGAATACCTTCAAAATAGATGGTGAAACTAGTTATGGTCGACTGCTTGCTGTAGCATTCCTACAGTGTTGTCTGCTGAAATTGACGTTTATGTCTCATTACAAATCTTACACCCATGCTACCTTTATCTATTATGTTATTTAAGTTATTATCTCATATCCAATCTAAGTCTTCAATTTCATCATCTGAAATCATTTCTTTCATTAGACTTTTACTACAATCTCCGTGAACGATAACCAATACTTTACCGCTTTATTGCTTGGAAAATACGATATTGGACCATATTGTATACTTGCTTTGTGGTTCCTTTTATATGTTTAAGGGTGTGTAAAGGTGCCTATCAAAAACTGATACTCATCAAGACAAGACCGAAAACCCGATCCCCTAACCTACTAAAAATTGCTACCAGACCCCTAGTACAAATTACAATCGAGTTGGACCATTGAAATTTTACGAACAACTGATTGCAAGATATTAAATTATGCCAGAAAACTGATCTTATCGTAACCAAGCGTCGTTGGATGACTTTTTGTCTTTGACCAACTTCCCTAGTTCCGTCTGCCTACCCTTAAAGTTGTCACAACCAGATGTGCAAGTTTTTCGACTTGTGGCTCATCTCTGATGACTTCTTATGTGTGATGGATAAGACCCTTTATTTTGTTATGTAATGAAATATAGATCCCAGCATATTTGTTGAATATATTTTTATAGTTTTCTGCAAATGTATATGTAAAATCATATGCCCACGACACGTGTCACACAATAATATTGTTAAAGAATATGTAAACCTATAGGATCGCACACAACGAATACGTTTGTTTCTATTTGAAAGTAACCCAAAAATCATAATTGACAGTTAAATAATTATTCTTAAAAATAATTATAGTGTCAAAAGGTAATTATGATAATTACAGGGTATTACCTATAAATAAACATAATTATTTAAAGTTTTAGATAATTATATAATTATTTACAGATAAATATCAAACGTATTTAGAGTTATAGAGTAACAATGATACCAACATATATAAATAGGGTGTCAGGCCAATTCATTTAAGGGAATTTAATTCTTTGAATTTGGTTAATTATGTGTTTTTTTCACACATCTGGACTTACAGTTTTAAAACACGTCTAGTAGAGAAGTTATTCAGTCCCTTATAAGACAGTTTTTCCCCTCCTCAACCGATGTGAGAGGAGATACAAAAAAAGTCAGATATCAAGTCCACGTACATCCCACCATCCAAGCCCCACCCCTGAATGAGAGATACGAGGATGGTTTGATTCAGTATACCTTTGCACCAAAAAATCGAATGTTTTTCATCTACATATACAAGTTCACTAAAGAACACGAATCTAAATCCTATAACGAAAACCAAAAAGCAAAATTTAAGAATCCGAGATTTCAAAGGACACAACACAGCTATAGTTTCGACCACTACTTGTTCACACTCGAAAAAAAAGAAACTTGGTCCAATACAAGAGTCTATTAACGAATCAAGCTTTTAACGAACTACCCAAGCTCGGGCTTACTAATTGTCAAACTCAAATCAATCTGGAACACACACTAAACAAAGCTCTGGCTTCACATCAATGTTTGAATAGGCTTGTTCGAGATCTCGATTAAACTTTTTGAGCCGAGCCATTTGAGCATATACTTTTTAGAGCCAAACATCTTCATATGTTCATAAACTATGTAATAGAATTACAAAACTACTGAGGTCGAGCCAATAAGCAAGCGAATTAACCTCAAGTTCGAGCACAAAACGAGCATCAAGCTCAAACTCAAACATCAAAAAGATAAATGAGTATGAGCTTGAACCCTACTGTGAAAAAGTTATTCAAGCTCGAGCCCAGTAATATTTTTCGAACCGAGGTCGAATAACCCGCAACTCGACTCGACTCGTTAACATGAAGTAGAGATCATTTTTGTTACAGAATCAGAAATTGAATTACTACCAATATATGTTGAAAATACAAAGGACCATAAATGACACTTTGTTACCACTTAAAGGACCATTTTTATAATTTCCTCCGCTATAAATGCACCATACAAGAGGCTGGAAACTGGAAAGCAGACAGGCACAACAAGCAGTGATAAAAGTATTTGAGAAAATTCATTGATTGAATATTATATATAATTATAATATATATAGATATAGATATAGATATAGCATATGATATAAGTTTTGAGTGTAAAAGAATTACAGGTTTTCAGATGGCTTTCTTCTTTCTTATAAATCTGCAAGAACTCTTCCACACCCTTTTAAGCAGATTGGCAGCAGAAATGAGCTAAAGATTCATCTGCACCACAAATGCATCAAAATGTAACATTTGATGATGTAGATATCCGTTTACGAAAAGGGTACGGAAAAATGAACGATAAACTTGACGTCTATGTCATTATATGTTATAAAAATAGCAGGTTACCGGTAAAAAAGTTGAAAAAATTGAACTTTTTGTTACATTTTACCCGAAAAACATAATCCCATGTCAGTTGAGCAAGAAAGTAGTTCTTACAATGGCTTTTTCGGTGATTCAAGATTCATCGTTGTCGGGAGTGGGTCGTCGTCGACTCAGTTGGAAAAGATTATGTGGGCCCGAACCGGAACCACCATCAGAGGATTCATTATCGTCGTCTCTAGATTCACCATCGTAGCTCTCACCCCATAGACGTGTCCTTAGTCTTCTCCTAACCGTCACCTGGGCTCTGGCTCGAGAAGTTCCAGACCAGCTACCGCTTCTTGAACTGTTTCCTGGCCGGAAGACCCTAATAAGAAAAAAGACGGTCAACCAACCCCCTTCATCGAAGGATAAACTGCTAGTACTATCTTCATTTCGATCTTCTCCAATAGACGATTGGAGGGTACTTAACAAATCTCCAAGATCCCGCTGCCGTTCCATCCTCCTCCAATCTCGCTGCCTTTCTGGATCCGCTTCCGATGGCCTCACGAGCGGGTGCACCAATCTTGCATGCTTCCTAAGATCCGTATATGTCCCTGAGAAATCACACGTTTCGCTAGCACAGCTTCGTGATTTCGTGTTCATGAATATACGGGCAGCCTCTACAACCACCCAACCGTTGACCTGCCCACGACAGAGAGGGCAGACCAGTTTCGACTTATCTTCAGTCTCAGAAGTCAAACTAGACTCAGGAATCAAGTTGGGCAACAAGGGTTCGGATTCCGTAATTATGACCGGAGTTTCTTCTGTTGGAGTTTCTTCTGTCGGAGGGACCAACGGTGGTTGACTTTCCGAGTACGATTTCCGGAATTGGTCAAAGCAGTTCGAGTGGCGGTAGCTAGTGTCGCACATGTAAGGACGGCAACCCTTGTCATGTGAAGAACACAAGAGAAGAATCGCATTGTGAGGATGTTCCATACAGACTGGGCATCGAGCATCTTCCCATTCTTTCAGATTCTCGTCACTCTCTAAAGGGTTCTTGATCAGTGATCGTTTTGGATGACTGGTGCTGCATCGGTATGGAGAAGCCCTGGACTTGTCTATAGACACGGATCGGTCTCTTCTCTCCTTTGGCATGGTTATCTGTCAATATCTCGACACAAACACTAATTCTGGTGCCTCCACAAGAAAATATTTACAAGGTAAGTACTTGTATATAAAAACAAAAGACCGCTCAATGAAAACCCTATGATCACAACATAAAGAGGACATTAAGAGTGCATTTGATATGCAGACGGGATGGGACAAGACAAGCGAGAATGAGGTAGGCGGGTGAAATAATTATAGAAAGTTTTAGGGTTTCAATTTGACAAGGGTAGTTTAGTAATTTACCTATCTTGTCAATCTGTTTGATTTTTGTTCCACCTATTTTGCCCCACTCAGTAATGTCCTGTCCCAGTCTATCTAGTGTTGCGCCAAACAGTACAAAAACATAAACACACGAATTTGCAGTGGAAATGGTAAACAACCTCATTCGAGCATTATAGTAACTCGCATAATGTTTCACTTGTTGAACACTTTCAAGCCATTGACTCAACGGACTCTTTTTTTGCAAGAGTTTACTTTCTGAACCATCATACTCCCAATTTCATTACAATGTAAGACTATAATTCTAGCAAAAATAAAAAGAACGCTATATCTGAAAGAATGTATAATTGTGAACAAAAAGCACCAAGAACGATAGTTTCCATTTTACCAAAGGGCCTTTGGCCTAGCAGTATCGTAGCCCTTGGCCTTCTAGGAGGTCAGGGGTTCAAACCTCACCATAGGTGAGTAGGGTGTGTGAGTTTATTTGTTGCATTTGCCGTATATAAATATTATATACTTCAAAAAGAAAACGATAGTTTCAATTTTTGTTTATATTGTTCCACAGCAAGTCCACAATCATTCTTTCTCATGAACTATGAAGTATAGTATTCCTTTTTTCATTTATAGGAACAATGGTTTGTTTGCAGCAAGAAGACAAATATGATGTTTCTATACAAACTTATTCAGGTTTAAGTACCAAATTTATGGAATACTTCTTCCAACTGAATCTAAATGTGCTTATTTTGGATTGAAGCAACTTCCATATGGATCTTGTGACGTCCATTGTTGTAAAGTGTGAGACTCCCTTAAGTTCTTGATAGTGGTGCAACTAGTAATTTCCCACCATGGCTTTGGTTAAGTTGGAGATTATTAGGTCAGTTGGTTGCTTTGACTAAAATGACATCAAATCTATGATCCCTCGAGGTGAAGTTGCTTAGAAGTTGTTTGGTTGGTTTTCCATTAAGTCCTGTATGGATAAAGTTGTCTATGTGAATTAATTTGTCTGTACAGATTGGAGAGGTTTTTGTTTAGAAGGGTTTTTTATAGACGGAATGAGCATGGTTTTTTAATTGGGAAGGGCAGGTTTGGTAACAACTTGGCTTTCTGCATAAAGCTCCCCCCTAAAAGCTTACTGAATAAGCCACTTTCTATATCATTAAGCCACTACCAAAGAGTCATGTATAGCTGACCGAATAAGCTTCCCCGTCAAGCTCATTAAGCTGCTAACGAACAGGCCCTTAGACTCATATGACTCATATACCTTCAGGGCATAAGTAATTTGGAATTTTGTTAGGGTTTCTATTTAGGCATGACGACGAGTTCAAGATTTATGTGGAAAATTTGTGACCTTTATCCCATATCAATTGAAACTATGAAATTTAAGGCTCCTTATAAGTCATTCACTTTAGAATGGCAAACATTCTAGCAATGTGGATAACGGCAAATTGATGAACAACGAAATACTATCGCTTAATGTATGTGATTGTTGATCCAGTCATGATGATTGAATAAAATTAATGCAGAAGATAGAACAATTTCATTTTTGGTCTTTGGACATCTTGATCAACAACTCCTGTGAATTCCCAAATCAAATAACTGAGTAGAATTGCAGAACACAAATCATACTCAGGTTATGCAAACTGCCACTAAAATTGAGTTCATTGATCAATTGAATTTCAAAAACATCCATAAAACAACAGAAGAACACTTGCAATTTTAAATTCACAAATCCCACCCAAAAATTTCAATCCAGATTGAAAATAGAGAGCATGCAACAACATCATCATCATCATCATAAAAAGCCCTAATTACACAAAAAGTTTAAACTCAAGTAGCAATTCATCAAATAAAAGGAGAATGATAAAATCAAAAATCCGATTAAAAGAAACCCTAAATCGATGAGTTCAATAGACCAGAATTACTTCCAAAATAAGAACTAAGATGATCTAGTGTTTTACCTCAAAATTTTACAAAACCTAACACTAGTTTATAGCGTACAACTACAAACCCTAAAAAATTCCACAATCAAAACCCATAAACAAGCTTACAAACATACAAAACTAGCAGATCCGAGTAGTAATCAAACATCGCAGATGAAAAATATCAAATACTTCGTAAGAATTTTACCCAAAATACTTCTTTCTTGATGGATTTTCGGTCCCGATGACTCTACAAAGACCGATCCCCCGATGAATCAACGAAACCCCAAAAAGGGATATCCGATTTCTAGAACGATTAAGACAGCTATTTGGAGCTGCAAGAAGAGCAACGTAGGGCAAAGATTCAATTATATATACGAAGAAGAAGTGGTGTGTGTGTGTGTGTGTGTGCTGACGTGGAGGAGCACTGTTCGTTCATGGCCCCCTGATTATTTGAATTTTAAATCGATTTAACTTTTTTAAGTTTTAAGTCGGCGCCATGTCGCTTGTGGTAAATGAAATAAAATAATTTACACTTTGGGTCCCTCAATTTTATCATTATAACAAAATCAACCCAACATTTTTCAAATTATTATACTTTCTGTACCAATTGTTTTTTTTGTTTGTTCACTAAGGTGCAGTTTACCAAACGATTACTCGGGTAAGCACTTACCAAATCATTTTATTTTACTGGATGAATATGATACGGACTAAGAATCTTACATGCTAAGAGCGAAGGCAAGAATCGAGAGTCTTACCCGGTAAGCGAGGGCGACCACTCTTACTATGATTAGCGTTTACCGGGATAAATTATTGCATACGATGCGTTTTAGTGAATAAAATCTTACTTGGTAAGTAAACGATAGTGTTGAATTTTAACAGTAAATGCTTACCAAGTAAGTGGATGTGATCAAAGCTATAAACTAAATATATGACTTGGGTTTGTTTGTAACTTAATAGACTTACAGTAAGATTGTATATGAGTTGGGTTGGCCAGATTGAATGCATTTGAACAATCTGACTCAATGTTTGCGGTTTGAAAAATCTCAACCTAACACAACCCAACCCAAACGACGCGGGTTGGGTTATGTTAGTCAGGCTGAAACTTTGATACATCATTTTACATTCTACCTAAGCGTTTCTGTTTAAATGAAACCAGATAAAAATAAAAACATATAAAAAAGGCTAACAACTTCAGAAAAGAAATTTGAAGGTTCTTGCAAATAAAAAAGTAAAAATACTGCTGAAATTTAATTACGAATTAGTCCGGTGTCTAATGTATATATTAACCAAGGACTTAATAATCATATTAAATCTATAGTATAAAAAAGTTTCAGATTCATCGAGCTGGATTGGGTTCAAATGACCCTAACCAAGTTACAATTCAATAGATGCGGTTTGGCCTAATTTTGTATTAACTATATGTTGAATAACCTCGGGTTCAGTTTTTTAGGTTTTCTTGGGTTGGGTTAGGTTGGTTGATTTTTTTAGCACCCCTAACTTTTAGCTTATTCAGTCAGTTATACATCATTGTTTGGCAGTATTTCAGTGATATAAACTGACTTATTCACAAAGCCTATACGATAGAGCTTTATGTGGAAAAACCAAGTTTTTATCTAACTTGTCCCNCCCCCCCAAAAAAAAAAATTAAAAAACATGTTCCTTCCATCTATGAAAAAACCCGCATAATCTATACAAACGTATTAATCTACACAAATATATTTATCCATACAAGATTTAAATAAAACCAATCAAACTTGGCAGTCGTTTTATGTTAAGAATTGTATGAATATAGTTGTTTGTATATTTACAGATTAGTTGTTGTTCTGTTGTTGTACTGAATAAACAGTCTGAATGTCAGAAATGATCATTTTACCCCCAACCTATATTAAACACTATTAAAGCATTTGTTTGATAAAAATGTTGAATATTTGACTTTGAATGGTTAAAAAATATAATTTCATTCTCAAAAATATCAAGCCTTAATATTTTTTCAAATCTAAAATCTTTAAATTAAAAGTCAAATATCAAATATTTAATTGTTAGTGGGATTTTAGATGTTATTGAGGATGAGATTGTTTGTTAACAGAAGGGTATTTAAGTAAAAAGTTTGGTTGAATGTAGACAAGTGCCTTTCTCAAGTTGTCCAAATAAGCAATTGATTTCCAGATTAAGCCATAACGAACAATCATTTATGGTTGAGCGAATAAGCTATATGGGCTATACAACCCAATAAGCCACAACCGAACAACCCCTTATATGACTACCTGTGTAGCGTTCTTATCGACTTGTATCCATGTTTGAATTTCAGGTATGTCATATGAATTATGAGGTTTATTATCATGATCTTAAAACAACATATAATTTATAAGTGAACCATAATTAAAGGACAATGTAATCATATAAATCAAACTCAGTGTTTTTTTTTTTTTTACAAACACAGTAACCTGATTGTTGATTTTTGGTCGTTGGTTGTGGTTCCCAATGGAGGCTAAATGGTTGTTTGGCAGTTACTGAGTGGTTTGGTGCAGAATAATTAAATGGTCAGGATAATTAAGACGCTCTCATGATATAGTGCAAAATGAAATATAATTGTTTAGTAATTGTTTACAATGAAATTAGGACGCTTAATGATTAAGGGAGGTCCATGATATAAAATCATTCAGAGGATCTTAGAACCATTAAGAGGCAGATTTTTTTTTGTCAAATAAGATTCACCTCTTAATGATTCACAGACTGCTATTAATGGAATTATTAAGAGGTAAATAAACAACCCCTAAAATATCACTTAATTGTACAAGTAATACAACACAAGTCTTATTGTATGAAATAAGTTCTTTCAAATGTATTTTAACTTGATTCATATTTTAGGTAAATACTTTCAGAACTTCCATTTTGATACCTAAAATGTGAAGTTTTGAACATTTAAGTACCTGGGTAACCAATTGAAGCATTAACCGATTAGTATGATGTGGCAAGTGATGTGGTATCCAACTCAATATTATTTGATGAAGTATTAATCAGATACCACATCAACATGGTAACCGATTAATGCTTCAATCGGTTACTCGTGTACTTAAATCTTTAAAACTTTACATCTTAAATAACAAAATGAAAGTTTTGAAAATACATTAAAAAAAAATCGAAATCAAGTTAAAGTACGTTATTTTTTTCATATAATTTGTATTTTTTAAAACTATATAAAAAATCTTTTAAAATATAATAGACAGAAAAACCTTTATTTTCTCCAGAGAAAATTGCATCAAAATGGAACCAATTTTCACCCGATTTCTATTTTGGGGAACCAACTTTCAAAATCGTCATTTATGAGTCTATATCAAACTTTTTGTTTATTTAAGGGTCTGGTTGATCTGTTGAACAGGTAACAGGTAATTTAAGGGTCTCTATCAAACTTTTGGTTTGATTTACCAAATTTGATTTAAACTTTAATATTGATACAGATTGGTTAGATATCAAAATCTTGAATGTGATTTTTAATATTTATTTTTTATTGCATCAATTAATTTTTTTCTATTAAATTAATTTTTTTATTACACTGGTAAAAGACAATTTTTATTGTAGTAATTTGGATTTTTTTTAAAATCTTCAATTTGATATATGAATTTAAAAAGAACACAATTTAAAATGAAAAATAGATTTTATTATATTAATTTAAAAAAAAAAACGAATTTTAATTAATTTTCTATAATTATTTTTCAAGTTGATTCCCTAAAATAATGATTTTCAAAATTAATTCTTCAAAATAAAAATTAAGTAAAAATTGATTCCATTTTATACAATTTTCCCTTTTCTTTGTTTTAAGTTGCAACAGATCAACAATTATCTAATTCATCACCGGCGGTCTCTGAGGCGGAAGCATATGCATGATTGGATCAATCATTGTATTTAAGAAGTAGAAAATTGCATTAAGACCCTGATAATATTGATTTATTGCAAATAGCACCCCATACAATCATAACTTGTACCTAGAACCCCCTCAACAAATCATGGTTGCCATTTAACCATAAATCAACCTTTTGTACTACTCATAATTCTTTCGTTCGCCTACCTCACTCTCGTCCATCTAGTACCGTCAGCGTACCGAACTTGGTTCAAACAAGGGTATACAGGCGACAACGTATTTTTTGCATTAAATACTTGTACATTACTCGTAAGCAACTCTCGGTTCGAGTTGCTCTAAGTGTATTTACATTCCGACTCGTGTAAAGTATTGTCGAAACACATTCCGGGACATAATTTAACAACCTAAATCAAGTGAATCTGTTTACTGTGCTAAAGAAACTGATGATAGATTTCATACCTTTCGAATCCAAATGGCGATCTCTTCGAGATCTCAAAAACGTTTTCACCAACAATCCAAGCAAGAGCAAGCCCCGTTTTTGAAATGGTGGAACCGATTCTGGTCCCTAGCAATGATTTCCCTATCGAAAATCTTGGAGATCAACTTCGTAGCAGAATGACAGTTGCTACAAACGCGCAGATTCTTCATGATTCTAATCGTTGTCCCTGGCTTTGTACTAATCAACCCAAATGCGATTGCTAAACGCTCGCTGTGTTGACACAATATCTCTTCTTTCCATTCATCGGATATATCATAAAGCACCAAAGAGTTGTCAGGAACGTGCCCAGAATCATGAAGAAGCCGATTAGTTTCTTCCAGCATTTCGTAGATCTGTTTGCTCATGGGATGTGTTCTATCACTAACAAGAAACTCGTGAACGACACCATCTATTTCAATTGAAGTACAACCCGGGATTTTCTTTGATCCGTCATCTTTAAACTTTGTTCTGATTCGGGCAACGTCATCCCATCTACGAGCAGCAGCGTAAAGATTTGATAAAAGCATTTGAGCTCCAGAGTTTCCGGGATCCAATTCAAGAACTTTTTTAGCGAAATATTCACCCAATGGAACGTTTTGGTAAAATGTACAAGCCCCAAGAAGCGAACCCCAGATGGCACCATCTGGGTTCACCTCCATGTTCTTGATCATGGTCATAGCTTCTTCAAACAAACCGGCTCGGGCTAGAAGATCAATCACACATCCGTAGTGTTGTAGCTTAGGTGAAATCTTGAAATCTTGGATCATTGAGATAAAGTATCGGCGACCATGGTTAACCAGACCAGCATGGCTACACGCTGATAAAACACCGACAAAGGTTATATCATCTGGTTCGAGTCCTTCATTGACCATTTTCTCAAGAAGTCCAATGGCTTCGTGGGCTCGCCGATGCATGGCTAACCCTGAAATCATTGCATTCCATGAAGCCAAACTTTTGAGTTTCACACTCTCAAAGACTGTTTTTGCAGCTTCTATATCTCCACACTTGGCATACATATCAATAAGACTAGTGGAAAGAGAGGTGTTAGATGACTCCGGAAAGTTCTTGTCGATATAAGCATGGATCCATTTGCCAAAATCAAGAGCACCCATGTGAGCACAAGCCGGTAGAGCGCTTAGCAATGTGACTTCATTAGGTTCGTAGTTTGATTGCAGCATCGTCCTAAAGAGGTCCAATGATTCTCTATAATGGTGCTTATGTGTATACCCGCCAATCATAACGTTCCACGAGACTATATTCTTGTTACTCATGCTATCAAATAGACTTCTAGCTTCGGCTAACTCGCTGCATTTTGAGTACATATCGATAAGGGCGTTAACAAGCCGGAGGTTTGAATCAAGCCCACGATCTATAATCAGATTCCTGATTCGTTTGCCTGTCGTAAGACAGCCCGATTGAGCACAAGCAGAAAGAACTGTTACTAATGTGCTCTCATCTGGTTTGATCTTTGCCAATTGCATCTCTTTAAAGATATCTATTGCTTCTTTGAACCGCTGGCTTCTGGCATACCCAGCTATAATTGAATTCCATGATACTACATCTCTAACAGGCATTTCATCAAACAGTTTGCGGGCATCTTCCAAACGCCCTTGACTCGTGTAACCAGTAATTAAGGCTGTAAAAGAAACAACATCTCTCAGAGGACTTTTATCAAACACTAACCTTCCATCCTCCAATTCTCCACTTTGAGCATAAAAATTGATCATGGAGGTATGGATAAACACATCGCAACCAAGCCCAAGCTTCAAAACATGTCCATGAATCTGTTTCCCCTCGTTTGTCCCGTCGATTCTTGCACAAGATTTAAAAAGAGAAGGAAAAGTATAAGAATTTGGTTTAACACCGGATAAAAGCATGAACCTATAGAAATCAATTGCGGAATATGGGGATGAATTTAATGAGTAACCTCTGATAATTGTGTTCCACATGATTTGATCAGGAGGTTCGTCATCGTCAATGGTGTCGAATACTGAAAGGGCGTATGAAAGGTCACCAAAAGTGTTGATGGCACAAAAATGGAGAATCTTGCTTAGAGCAAACTGGGTTTTGTGGAGACCATTTTTGATCATTTGAGCATGAATTTGTTTGAATTCTTCCATGTTTTTGCATTTGGAGAGGAGATCGAGAGATGGGTGGTTTTGTGGTGGAATAATGGGTGTAGCGATAAGAGAAGGAGACGATGATAGTATCATTGCGTTTGCTTTGCGAAGAAAGTGACGAGGAATGATAGTTTTAAACGAGGCAAAACTTCGAAAAAAGAAAAACTAAATATTAATTATTATTTATTATTATAAATATTAATTGTTAATAAATATTAAATAAAAATTATTATTAGTAATTAACTAGAAACGTACTCGCGCAATGCAGCGAGATACATCATAATTTTAATATTTTATTTTATTATTTATCTCAGTCGATGTTATAATATGGCTTTATATGATTTTGAGAAAACGATAATGTTTTTATTTTTGAATAAAATATATGTTTGAAGATATCATGAAAATTTGACAAAAATATATCGATATTAGTATCAAATTAACTATTTGAAATTTCT